CTTAAAACAAACAAGAAAACTAATCCCCCCGAATCCCACAGGTTTTGGCGAATCCCCGTCGCCTCTTCGACCCGCAGATTCGGGCAAAGCTGTCTAGCAGACTTCTGGATGCATTCCCATACTCTTTTGGAGGATTCTAGAATTAGGGTTGCCTCTCCCAAGCCGGTTAGATGGCAGTCGCCTTCCGAGATTTTGGGGGATCCTTCGAACTGGGGGGATGATTAAGTGATTCAGGCTTGTGGCATTGGATTTGGTAGGGGTGCGCATCACCCGACATGAGCTTAGGGTGTGGGGATCCAGCGCCCAGTGCCCCACCTGTTTAATATCCTACACAAACAATGCGAAAAAAGTATTGGCAGTGACAGCGCAATGGAAAGGTGGTTCACAAAGCTTAAAGCCTTTCGGAACATCTGCTGTTGACCTCCGAAGAACCAAGACAGTACACAAAGCTTACAATGACGCTCTTTTCTGCGTGCTCTCTTGCCTAGGACCTGGACAAGGAATGAAGAAACAGAAGCACACCTTGCCGCATCCCATAGACTATCCCTCGGGAGTCCCGCATTAAACTCCAGCATGGATAAGAGCAGCAAGGACTGGAGTTCGTGCTACGGCAGAGCCAATGGGAGGTGTATGAAGACTGAGTGGGGTTAGTTGCCCAGGTTGGCACGGTGTGTGATCTTGCAGAGTAAACACTTATCAGGATTTCATGATGGGCCTTTCTCAATTTGTGAGCTTTGTTTAGGTTTAGTTGCCTGTGGTCTATGAAGCAGCACCTGATGCCCAAATGACCTGGAGCCACACTGTACTGAATCATGGGTTTCGTTGGGACAACAGAGGCCACTTGCGTATGCCCTACTGCCAGACGTAGTTTCGAGTGATACAGGACGCTATGGTCAGAATGGATTCATAGCATCCACATTAGGGTCAAAGTCCGAGAATAGCGGCGGGTGTCATTTCGCGGCTTGCCTGGGGTGGGCGCGATTGCTTTCTTACTCTTGGGAAGTACGACGGAGGGTACCAGAGGGGCGTGATAAGTCAACTGATTCCGCATCACCCAGACACGCGATGCTGGGCTTATTGATTTCTCAACCACTGATTGTTGGGACATGTTGTCCTTGTCAGAATGCCTTACAGTTGAGACATTGGTTAGGGCTTGTTCATGGCCTAGTCACTCTGCAGGTCACCAAATGAAACAAAACAAGTTGCTTGCTTCTTTATTGCGCTGGCGGAGCAAGTCAAATGTCACAGGTGAGGTCAGCGCTTGGTCTGTCAGTCTGCGGTTAATAAGCGCAAGCATTTCTGGATATGCGAATCTCCAGCTGCTGGGACAATTTTCTTGGGGCCATGATATCACCGACATTTTGAGGTGCGTTTCTTTATGCTTTGGGTGGAGCCTGTGTATGTCATTGAAGCTCGGCTTCGCCTACCTTGCTTTCACTCTAAGTGGCTCCTCGCCATGATTTTGGGGATTGAGGCGAATGTTCAGTGGCACGCCAAAGTCTGACCTCATTCAATAAATGCCAACGTCAGCTCAAAACAGCCGGGCACCCTAGGATTCCCTCCATGTTCTTGCAGTTGCGGGACTGCTCTTGCAGTGAGCTTTTCGTTATCTATGTGCAGTGTTGCATGCCGGTCTCAGACAGCATTCCTCGGCACCACAAGAACATCTGTTGGGACCAAGGAGCTGTGCCATGGGTACTTGCATCCTTTCGGAATGTACCTATTTCGTGAGCACTGTCTGGGTCCCTGACCCACTTGGATCCGGTCCCAGAAACTGGTACTCGGGATGTAAGCTTCAGTCATAGTAACCCGATAAAGTTTGGCGTGTAGCGTACCTCCCCCATTCCGAAGTCCAGCCATTGTTACCCAAGTTTCTGGAAGTGCTGGGCTTGGAGAGCCCGACGGACCAATGTCGGTGATGGGATGTTGATGGTGTTGTTTTGTGCTGTATAGAAATGCGTATCATCAGGCTTGAAGTACATTGTGACTGCTATTGTAACTAGTCATGCAAAATGAAGTGGACAACAGGCCCTGGCGTTGTTGCTCGTTGAGCCGTATCTGCCTATCATCAGCCCTATAGGAGGTCTCCGAATAGAAAGCCCTGATAATCACTTATACCTTCGAGCACCTTGTTTGATGCATCCTTTTGTTCCTCCGGCAAGTCTTGTGGTACCCAGGAACTACACACTGAGACGTCAACCATTGCTCCTCTACTAAAATTTCTAGACTACAAGAGTGCTGTGGAAGTATCTTACCCAGATTCGGCGACGTCCCACAGCTGAGGTTTGGGTGGCTCAGCATGCTTTTAAACGAGCCTGGACTCATAAACATACGCTTCAAAGAGCAAGCTCCCACAGGAGGTCCAGGAGTAGGGAGCTACACTACAGCCATAGCAAACTACATACAGCCGGCCTGACGAATCTACGCTGGCGCTTTCAATGCGCCAGTCTGGTTGCCGAATCAGCATGCAGCAGACCGCTTGTGCAGTACAGCTTCTACCGGACCGAGATACGGATTCTTCGATTTCACATTTGACATATCTCGTTCCGCGGGCGCACTGCATGTTCCTGTGTAGACAGATAGTTTCTCGTCTGCCCAGGCGGCACTCGAGGATCCCCCAAAAAGCAGATAGCTCACACGACGTAAAAGCGGAGTCGCCGCGTATCGTCGCGGCTCAGTTCGAGGTGAGCTTTTTGCCGGAACCCTGATCTGGGATTCTGGAAATTTCGGTCGTGCTTCATACATAATGGCCTTTTCTTTTCTCCACATTCGACGAGGGCAGGCATGACGCTGCCTTCAATGACTTCAATGCGAAGCATTTCAGGACTGACGGGCTCTGACCATCTGCAGTGGCCCTAGGAACATCTCTGACTGATGCTTCATTTCAACCAAGCCGGAGCCCTCTATGGGGTCTCTGGCACATGCTGTTGCAGTGTCTCTTTGCGTGAAGGCTCTGGAGTAGTAACAGGTGGGGTTATGGCCAGTTATAGCCATCTAGATTGAGGTTGAAACTGTATATACTCAGTGCTCGCAAGAAATCCTCCGGTCATAGTTGCCCATGAGCCGAGCCTCCAAAAGAAGAGAGCCTTCCAGAGTGATAGATGCCACTGAATCGTTCGATGCAATCAGAAGTTGAAATGCGTTTTTGGACAGCAGTTTAGGGTGATATAGGCTGTGACATCATGATCTGAGAGCAGAATTTTGGGTTGGAAAACAATAGGCCACTCACCAACAACGATAGACAGGATTCCAAACTCCAACCGTCATGAACGTTGCGCCGCTTACCAAAATCCAATGTACAAACCCAGTACTTGCAGATTGCCTAGGCCTGTGGGAGAGAGGCAAGACAATGGGCTTTGGGGCTGCGGCCATCCCTTCAAAAACCGACGCTAAATATTGCAAGTATATCTGGTGCTGCTTAATGTTATGGACTCTTGAGGGCCATTTGGGATATGGGGAATGTTTGTTGGGTTTCTCCACCTCAGAAAATGTAGATGTGGGTGATGCAATGGCTTGCGCGCAGCAATGGGGTTCTCAGAGCAGGGGTTCCCTTTGCAACCTTACAAGTAATTATTTGGGGATTATGAGTCAAACTATGAGCCTCCTAAGGGTTTCATGTAGAAATTTCCATTGCCTCTCCCAATTTCTTGTCATGGTTCAAGTGGCCACATCATTTCAAAGCGACGAAGCTGCTAACGGCAAGCATGTCTTGAATTGTTGCTAGCATGGAGGGTTTTCGGTACAAGGGCTTCGTGCTGTCAAGCCGCAACTGCAGCTCGACCGTTCCTTATGTAGAGAGGGTTGCCCAAAAATGAATCGTCCCTTGTCCCTGAAGCAAAATCCCGTGCTTCACTGGGTTTTTGCAGATGTTCTGTGTGGAGGGTGTTGTGGGTTTATGCGGTTTATGGGGTCTGTGGCTCTAAAAGGGGGTTCAGTGGGGTTCCATGTTGTTTGGTGGAGGGTGGACCTTAGGGGGGATACATCGACGTTTTGAATGCAAGGGCTTAGGGTGGGGCAGGACGGACATGTATGGTCAGGGGGGGCTTAAGCAGACTAGTGATGGCGATTGCTGGGGTTGTTATGCAGCTTACAGGGGCTATAAGTATGATTCCACAGTCCCCCTCATCGTCCGAGCAGGCTTGAAGTTGTACCACTTCGGGCTTCGAGCATTGGGTTGAGGGTTTAGGGGGCGTTCCCAGAACTTGATCATGAGGTTTCGCTGTTCAATGTTTCAGGTATGATTGCTTTGCAAGTCGTTTCCAGGTACAAATGCTCGTCAACTTGCTTCCCGGTACAAAGCCTTTTCAACTCGCTTCCCGCCGCTGAGGGTCGAGGCTCAAACACCCAGGGCCTCCAACCCGTCATGAAGCCCAGCATGGACAGTTCAGCGTGCCTCTCGACTAGCGGTTGTGCTTGTTTGCAGAAGCTTCCAGGCAGCTGCCCGTGTACGGGTAGCTCAGGGGCTCACAAGGGAGTTTTCCTGTAGGCGACCATGCTGGGCTCAGGTCTAGGATAGCTAGATTGTTAACTGCAACCTAGCAGAACTGCAAGATAGATTTACCCAGTTCCTGGTCCGCCTAGATATAGAAGGTTTCCCATTCTGGTTGCTCAAACGGCGTCCCACAGTCCTGCTGCTGCAAAGTCGAGACGCATTGTGCACGAACATCACTCTAGCTTGTCTTCGCCAAATCCAGTTGAATGCTGTGCCACCAGCAGAGGTGGTAGGTGTCAAACATGTAAGGGCATTTGGAAGCAAAATGGGAGTCCCCACCACCTTCCACGGGCAGGAGCTCTGGGAAGGCCTATGCAAGGGCATAGAGAAGAAAGAGGCAAAGCATCTGCAGCTTACATTAGGTCCTGCAGCCCCTGACGTGGAACCTTTGAAATGCATCGTTTTATCGAAAACCGGCAGCTGCTTAGGCCCGTGAGTTGTAGCCCGACAGCCCACCTGCCATTCTCATGATAACAGAAACATTACGAGCCCAGGCTCCACGCGAAGCATGGAGACCACGGCTGGTTCCTGCAGGCCGGATTTTTTTTGAGGGTTCTTGGTTGCCGACTGAAGGTCATTAAAAAGTGGATAAAGAGCATGGAACTTACTATTCAGCGTATAGGGTTAGTTGAGAGTGAAAAAATGAAAGAGACCATGGAAGCTTTTATTTTTCAGGGTTCAGGGTCTGAGGTTAGCGAAGAAATGGACAAGAAAATGGAAGCTATTAGCTATCAGATTATTGCGGCGTATTGGAGGATCACCAAAAGGATTCCTTCCTCTGTGCCCACTACTATTGCGTTATCGTGCTGGGCATGCTTACTTTGGGTTGAGTGAAGGATCAGGGGGAGGAAAGGGTTTCAGATCGTTGGTTTCGTGGTTATGTGGGTGCGAATTCATCGTTTAGTGTGTGTGGCATTGGATAAGGTCGGCAAAGTTCAGGGACCGGCTCCTATTGGCGACGAAAGGATGTACAAGGGGGCTTATCTAAGGTTTGTACAAGGAAAAAAGGCAATCCGAGGTGTGACCTGGGCAGATTTCCGGTTCGACGACCTGTCTTGGGTTTGGGGTCTCAAGCCCTCAGGTCTTCAGGGAGTACACAGGGCTAATACATGATCAATTTCCAGAAAGCTGTGTGCCCCTCGTAGGTTATGGAACACTGACTATTGGGAGGGTTGTCACTCTTTGATCTCACCGTGGTGTTGACTTGGTAGCGACACGGCCTTTGATGGTTTGGATCAGGCCCCTCATTGTTGCGTGACCTTTTGCGATGTTTTGCACACACAGTTTAGAATAAAAATAATACTACTAGTAGTAATAGAAATAGTAATAGTAATAATAATAGTAATAGTAATAGTAATAATAGTAATAGTAATAATACGAGTAGTTTGATTTGATGGGCTTGGGCCTTGCTATTCGACAAGCAGCAAACGGGAGGCTGTTGCTTACAACAGTCGCCCCAAATTGTGCTGTAGACAGGCCTCACAGCAATTACGGCAGGAAGCCCCAAATCCTAGACTGCAAAAAGCTGAACCCTAGTAAAACCCCTTAGCCTTGGAGTACCTCGTGTGAAGGGCGGGCTCACATTCCAATGTCCTGTGAAAAGATAAAGAACAACAACGAACGATAATTCAATGCTAATGTAAACCTGTCCAAACCACTGCAAACCAACATGGCATAGGCAATTGCAATCAGGCTGCAAATAGGGTTGGAAATCCGCAGTTGGGTTTTGACAGGCAAGAACCCTCTGAACCTTAAGCCCCAACTAACCTTCGACCCCAAAGCCACTAAGCAATCAAAGCCCTGCACAGCCTTGACTGGGAGAGGGCGGTGTCCAGACTCCTTGCTAGGACATGTCTGTCAAATGAGTGCAGGAGGCCAACACCGTAAATCATCGCTCTAGTACAGTACCACAACTGTATATGCAGCCCAAACCCAGAAACCTGCGCCCTACATCGACATGATATAGATAATTCCTCGTGCCCACCTCAAACGCTCACAACCACAAAAGAGTTCCTGAGAATGAGTCCGATGGTTGCCGAGGAGGTCTCGCATACTTCTTCTTTAGGTCCTTGGCATCTCTGCGGATGCTGTGTAATTCAAAGATCTCGACATGTAGACTTCTTAAGCGAAGGTTTCCCTAAACAGGACCCTATTTCTGAAACCCAAGTCGCTCCTCAGGTCAGGGAATTGGCGGGAAGCCTTCCTTAATAGGCCGAGGCCCACAGGGTTTTGGGTCAACTCTTTAAGGTCGCATCGATTTTATGGCGTCGTTGTCGTCGTCGTCGTCGTCGTCATTGTCGTTTGTTTTATTCGAGAGGCTGGCAAAGGTGATCACCAGACATGCTGCTGCTGCTGAATGGTTTTGGGGTATGTAAGGATCTTTTTTGGTTGCGGGCTTGTGCTTGAACGTGTTGCGTACATTCTCGCGTGCTCATCAACTATCAGTTGCTATTGTCTTGTTGTACCGACAGTGGCAGCACGGCCCCATGCTGACAAACCCTGATTTACATACCCTTTACTTCCCAAACCAGGGGGTGCATGAGGTTTATGTGCAGCATACACCCCAGAGCACTAGAATCCTTATGACAGGGTTCGTCCCCGGGGAGAAGGCGCATAATTTGGAGAAACTCCCACATGGTCATAACTCTGCTCGCTAGAAAAATAGTTTCCTCATGATCCCAATGCATCCCTTGATTCCTTAAGTACACCCCTAAGTCTTCCGTTGCTCGAAGTTCAGACTTTCTCTCGCAGTCGCTGCCAACGTCTTGGGCAGTCCAGCAATCTGGAGGGGTAAGCCTGTCAATAACAGCCTAGCCTGAGGTCCGGTGCTCCTATTTGCACGTTTTTCTAGCCGCTGCCATTGACATCCACGTAAAGCAGCAACGTTGCCAAGTTTTTCGATTAAACGCATGATGCGCTTGAATACAGCTGTGCGTGCGACCTTGCAGTTCAAATGTGACACTCCACCTTTGCCACCACACTCTGACCCCGCGTCTGGGCCAGATTACCGCAGGCGACGGACGGGTGCCGATCCCGGGGACGACGAGATCGAGCGGAGGCTCCACTGTAGGCGTTCGGGGTTGAGGCTCTTTTTCGGCGGATCAACGAAGGCTTAAGGTACAGTATCCTGATTATGTTAAGAAATTGGTCACTACAATCGGCTGGAAATTATTTGTACGCAGTTCGAAGTGGGCTTCCCGTGTGCTAGGTCTAGGTGTCTGTTACAATTATGTTTAATACTTAGCTATCTGCACAACCATGCTACTTGTAATTTCAGGTAACTACCTATCAGCCTCCCAGTGCAGTGATTATTCAATCTATAGAATAAAAGAACTTGCAAGAAATGCGGAATCCTTTTTCCACCCTGCTTAGGCCCTACATCACATAATCGACATAAGCATTCTTAAGTTATAGACCCAGTATAACCCCAGTTTCCATTGTGTGTTTCCATATTCTTTTCCCTCTGATGCTCCATGATTCATACTTGCTTCGGCCCCTAGACCCTATATGCCACTAAAAACCCTTATATACCCCTACATACCCATTGGTTGAATATTTTAGGCCCTACCTTACCATGGACTTCGAAGTGTTCCGAGGCCTCGATTCCAGCGGCACAGCCAGCCTCCAGTACAGACTGAAAAGTTCGACGAGAAGGCAGCTTGAAAAGATGGCGACCACGATGGGCTACATAATCCTTTTTCCTGTTACAGGGTAGCACCAGCACCACAGGCACCAGCACCACAGGCACCAGCACCACCAGCTGCAGCACCAGCACCAGCACCAGCACCAGCACCAGCACCAGCACCAACCACCAGCACCAACCACCAGCACCAGGCACCAGGCACCAGGCACCAGGCACCAGGCACCAGCCCCAGCCCCAGCCCCAG